TACCACAGGATGCAGGAATGGGACAAAAGGGCTCTCCATGCCAGCACCAGCACTTGAGCTGTGCCATAGCCACATCCCATGAGGAAAGCGCACAGCTCCCCATCTTTTCCTGTGGTTTCAGAGAAACATCTTGGATGAAATGTGCAGTTCCAGAGAGCAGAGGCATTTCAAGCAAGATTTCTTTGTTGTGATGATGAGGCTCCTGGCCCTGCTGATGCTTTTTGCTCATTTCCTCTGCAAGCAGCAGCAATGCCTCCATCTCCATAGAGGACTCAGAGGCCTCAGGTGCCTTGAAGCAGGAGGAGAAATTCATCACGTAACTGACCTCCCCCAGGGCACTACAATCCCCATGCCATGGGCCAGCTCCTGGATGGGTGGGAAGCGGGTGGATGGAGCAGGGACACGTGCTGTGGCACGCCGGGGCTTGGGGCACTTGGTTATTGAGCTGAGCCGGTTATTGCCAGCAGCTAAACAAACTAATGGGAAGGATATTTCCCTGGAGAGAGAGAAGGTTTTTGATTTAGACTGTACTGTTTAAGCTTAGACTCTCACCGCAGCTAAAATTTCCTTCTGAGGGTAATAATTATCCCAGTGCAGAGCCCAAGCATGTGTTTGCTTTTCTGCTCCCTATCTGGAAGGATTTGGTTTAGGGGTCTTTGATTTCCCCTGGTGTTCAGCACCCCCTGCACCCCTTGCCCAGCTCTGGGGACCAGAGCTGGAGGGAAGCAAAGAAAAGCTCAGTGCACAGCTTTATGCAGAGATCACCCTCAGGTATTAAACTAATTACCAGGGAGAGGCACTGGTCCCTCAGGGTTTCTGCTCCAGCCCTCTGCAAGCTGCAGTCCAAAGACAGTGCTGCTGCTGCCAGCCCTGCATTTCCTCCACTGGTTCTGGAATGAAAATTGCTTTAAAAGCTCCAAGAGAAGCCATTTGGTTCTTCTAAGTGATGGGAATGGAAAAGAAAAAGGAAAGAAGGAATGGGAACACTTTTGTTCTTGCTGGCAGGTAAATGAGGTTCAGCTTTTGAAAATATATGGGGCCTCTAGTGCTAACTGCAGGGCTGGAGTCTCCAAGGAGTGATTTCTTCCTTCAGAACCATAATAATAACAATAAATGATTAAAAAGAAAACAGCCTAAATCTATATCTGTAGTTAACTCAGGACTCCTTCAGAGTTCAGGCCTGTTGCTGAATAAATAAACGCTTACTTGAAAAAGGAACCTCCAGCCTCCTGCAAATGAGAGGCAGCGAAGCAGCGCTCAGGGGCAGCCCGAACACGTGCAGCACAGCCAGGGGGAAATCCTGCCAGATCAGGTTATTCTGGCTTTACTCCAGATTGGGGAACACCAGGCCTGGCTTCCTGCCCACCCGCTCCCATTGCAGAACCCTGCATCAGCCACGCTGCCCAGTGCGCTGGTGTGGTGCAAGAGCAGAGAGTCAGGCTGGTGACCGCCCTCAGAGAGGCTTTTCTCTTCTGATGTGCCAAAAAAGTGAGTGCCAAAGTAGAGAAAACCTCCAAAAGAAACACATGAGGTCATGGCCACAGGAATTACTGTTTCCTCCCTCCCATGGAACAGCTGCTTCCAACCACTGCCGGTCACTGCTCCCTGTGGGCTGACACGCCGGGTGCTCAGCCCCACACCGGGCGGTGAGATAAGGCTCAGGGAGGTACCATGAGTCACAGAGGGCTGGGCAGACTTGGCAGCTGCACTGCCACACTGCCCAGCACATGGTACCCCAGCTCCCCGGGACGCCCCAGCACCCACACAGCCTGCAGAGAGGGACAGCACAGCTGGGACGCAGAAAGGTACGTAGACTTGTCCCATCCCTGACTGGGGAAATGTGGTTTCTAGAGCATGACTGAAGTAATGCATTTCTTTTTACTTGCTGGCAGGTTAGAAGGTTGCATGGGCAAGGTTTTGGTTGTTCCTCCTTCTTGTAGGCAGGAGGAGAAGGGGAAGCCCCGTGCACTGGCATTCCTTCCATGAGATGCAACTGTGCCGGTTTCATGGTCAGAACTAATGAACTACCTGTGTTAACAGGGATTTGTAATGTGGTGGAATCAGCTGTGTGATGTGGGGTCCAGGTCAAAGCCCTTTATCCGTCATGGCTATGGATGAATTTGCAGGATGTTCACTGTGCAGAGTGTGTGGTTTGTCCAAGATCAGGCTGCTTCTCAGGTTATCATGTATTTTTTCTTGCACTGCTGAAAGAGACTCAGTCTTGCTGCCCACACAGCACCAATAGAGAGGGAAATATTTTCTTTAAAAAACTGATGACATCATCTGGAGTTTCGAGAAACCAGACTAGATGGAAGGGAAGGAGGACATGAGGTGGCAAGTGCTTCCTGGTAGAAAGCAGCAAACATTGGTCAACACCCCAGATAACTACTGGATTGTACTGGGGGCAGTTTTGCCATAAGATGTCCTCTCCAGCCATTTGGTGGATCCAGCAGCTGGCCAAGCATTTTTATGAGCAGAGGAATTTATAAGCCCTCTGGCAAACAGCCCCCTCCAGTTGAGTAAGCTGGCAAAACTCAGTCAGATTGACTCCTTTTGAGACTGAAAATGACAGCGTAGCACCCTCCATTCTCCTGTGGTGGGATAAACCCTGAACACGGGGTGGATGTGCACCCACCCAACACCAGTCCCTCCTCTGCACCCCTGCATTCAATTTTGCAGGAAAACCTGACTGTTGGAGGGGTGACTCGATGGGTGTGGGCAGTCACCCTCTTTGGAGCCCCAGCCCAACCCCACAGCAAAATGCTCATGTTCACAGTCAGGGACCTGCTGGGAAACAGAGGGACATGTAGGGCTCAAAAGCAGAAAAAAAAATAGAAAAAAAAGGCAGGAGTCTGTGGGGAAGCAAAGTAAAGTTTTCCTGCAGTGCCAGGAGGCAACAGAACATTCACCTGCTGAATCCTGGAAAACCAAACTGTGTTTCTTCTTGACAGCAATTAACTCAGCTCTGCTAAGCGGCACTTCCGTCCAGAGGAGGCTTGGGTGCAGCCTTTGCCTTACAACACCATGAACCTCTTTAGCAATATTTGTCCAAGAACTTTTTTGTTCCTGGAATGCTTTTTAAGCAAATAATTTCATGTTTATTAGACAAATAACTCTGTTTAACACCTGATATAGTTCCTTCCTTTCTCCCTCGCCTGCCAGCAGGTCTCTGGCAGATGTCAGAGCACAGGTGCCTTTTATTCTGGCACAACACTAGGAAGAAAAAAAACTATTCAGTGCAAACAATTATAAAATAATGTAATATAAATAACAGGACATGGTTACTCTCTTGTAATGCAATCAGGTTCCAGGATTTTCACCGCCTAGGGACTTCACCCAATAAATTTTATCTGGGATTAAGGTGAAGATAAACAGCCCAAATAAATATATCACTTCCCTAAAGCACTGGCATTTATTGGTTTATTTTTCCATTTCTCTTCCTCTGCAGTGAAATCAGTATGTGCATAGAAAACCCACAAATTTGGTAAAGGAGAGAACTATGCAATGGGCCCCTGTGAGGCCAATGGTCACTGCAGAGGTGGAGACCAAACAGGGAGGGTTTTGCAAACCCAGTGGAGTTTTGCTCCACTCACTGTGTCCAAATCACAGTCCAGGTCTGAATCCTCACCAGCTCCAGGCTCTGCTCATGGCACTTGGGGGGAAGTCAACAAGCTCCAGAAGCAAACCAATACCAATTATGAAGTTCTTGTGTCTTGCCAAGTGGGATTCTGAGGACTGCCCCCATTTTCTGACCCCATCACTAGATCAGGCACTGGCATGGGGGAGCCAGGACTAGGGATAGTGTCCCTGCGTTTAACAAGCAGAACTTCATGTTGAAAGGAGCAAAAAGGAAGAGCCTGGTACTGCGCCTCCAGATCCATCCACAGGCAGCATTCGTCCTCCAAAACCCTTAAACCATCCTTTTTCAGGTCTGTGGCTCTTCTACCAGCTCAGTGAAATGGGCCTGTTAATCCCAGCTCCATCACAAGTTTTAATATCTGTTTCAGAGATACTGTGCTGGGGCCTGGGATGGACCAGGACAAGGTGGTGTGGGGAAGGGCTGTGAGAATCACAGACCCCCCTGACACCTCCCACAGGGACAGATTCCTGTTCACAGGCCCCTTCCTCTGGGAGGAATAGCTGCTGGGCAGAGAAGGGCGATTTTGCTGGGAAGCTGCGAGCTCAGCTGATACACTACCAAAAACACACTGTCATGATACCCTAGGGTACAGAAATACCTTCCAAGGCTTCCTTTAAAACACAGACAGGCCAGTCTCCCATGGGAAGCTCATCATTCCCCGCTGGAGCAGCTCCAGCGTATCCTCCTTGCTGCGGTTCCCAGCAGACATGGGCACAGCGGAGGGGTCTCATGGGGGAGCAGTGCCGGGCTCCAGACACCTGAAACATCACTGAGGGGCTGCCTAAAAGCCCCAGACAATGATGCTGCAACCTGCCCCTGGGTGTAGGGAAAACCAAGGGGAGCATCATATCAGGGCACTGAGGGGGGATGCAGGTTCATCCCGCCCGGGGTTCAAGGCAGGACACGCATCACAGCCATGGTCAGTAACACGGCAAGCCCTGGGAGGGGACCCAGAGCAGGGCTGGGCAGGAGGCAAAGCTCTTCTCTGCTTCCTCATGACGCAGCAGCCTGAAATCAACATTCAACCCAACCCTGCTAAAACCCGTTGCTCCTTGTTTACCCATCAAACAGGAAAAGCAACTCTCAGCACGGCCCTTTTACAAATTTTCTGTCAAACAGCACTTATAGGGCTGTTCAGTTAACATCAGGCTCATTAACCAGGAGGCTTATTAACCAGCACCCATCTCACAAGTGACAATTTGCCTTAGGAGTCCAGGGTGGTTTCCACAACAGACGTTCGCCAGACTGCAACCTGGAATTTCAAAGGTAGGAGTGGGTCCCCAGCCCCTGGGAGCCCAGTGCGTGGGGTGGCGGGTGCCTGTCCCGTTGGTCAGGGTGGCAGTGGGAGAGAGGGCAGCAGATGGACTCGCTCGGGTAGGAAATAGTTCATGCTCCAAATTACAACCACACCCCATCCCTGTGGGTGAAGTCGCTCCAAGATTTGGCCGAGTGGGAATATTTCTGGTTTTAAGTTGGGTGTCTGCAAAGCTGCCTGCTCTGCCCAGCACAGTGGTGCTGCCCTTCTTCCTTTTTCCTTTGGATTTGAAGGAGGACAAGCTCGTTCCCAGAGGTTCCCCTAACTGGGTAAGGCCAAATCACAGCTTGTCCTTGGACAGCATTTTGCAGCCCCTAATATTTAAAACCTACTTTGCATCATCCCAGAAGGAAATGAAGCAAAGATGTGACTGAAAATATCCACCTCATCAGCAGAATAGAAAAAACCTGATCCATTACCAAGAACACAACATGAAACAGGAGCACGGGGGCAGCAGACAGACACAGGGAAGGGTTCTGAGACTTCAGAGGGATAGAGCTTTATCAGTGCAGCCTGCTCTAGCATACAGAGCCAGGACTTATCAGAGTGGGATCAAGCACATGTGCCTGATAGGAATTTGTACATCTTTGATGATGCCTTAGCTATTACAAATATGACTAAACATAGCTATTATCTTTTCATCCAGAATCTGCCTGGCTTTGGTGGGTTACAGGTATTCTTTATGGCATTACCTTCTTTTCTTCAGGGTGACCTGTGACCATTGGCCACCCCCTCAGCTGTGCTCTCCCTCCCCAACACCATGCGGATATCAGGTGAGGGAGACATATTTACCTTTCTCTGTCCATTCTTCTACAGTTCCTTATGCCTCCTTCTCATTTACATGATGCCTTCTAAGCCTTGACCTTTCCCTGCCAGGCACATGAGAAAAGGCCTTTGTGTAAGCATCAGGTTTTTACAAGATTTGTGTAGATTTCAGCCTGTTGTATTTTTCCCAGTGAAACCTTCTGTGTCTGGGAAGAGATGGCTATTGAGACGCTCCTGGTTCCATAAGAGCTATTCAGCTGCAATAAAAGTACATTTTTCTACTCTCTTTCCATGCAGGACTGGAACGTTTTGCTCTGATGAGCGCTGTTTTAAAGCCAAATGCCAATCACATTTGTATCAGCAGCTGCTCGGCTGTAGCAAGTGACTAATTGGGGGATAGCAGTCTTCCCAGCACTGGGAACATAAGAAATATTTGGATTTACATAGCTCTCTGAGTAATTATAAGATTTACTTTAATGTAGAGAGAAATATGAATAGTGCCTCCCAGTAGAATGGTAGTGCCTATCTGAGCATCACCACATACTCCAGAGATATTAATTAAGAGATCAGAATCCATTTAGATGGTGAAGGAGTGTTAGCTGCCTTCCCACACCATGTAAGCACTGGCTGTCACCCTGAGCCTGGTAACCTTGGGACAGACAAACCAAGTCCCCAAGAAACCAGAGGGATGCCCCGGTCTGACCTAGCTGCGGCTGCTGCCCTCACCTGGCTCCTCTCCCGCACCTTGCAGGTGTGATCCGGTGCATGGTGCTGCTTATCACACTGCTGGGCACATGGTTCATCATGCAGACGTACTTCCACCACAGCTGGAAAACCATCAGCCTGCGGAGCTGGCTCGGTGAGGCACCAACGGGGCTCCAACCAGAATCAGAGGGAGGGTGTGGGAGATTCCATTGCAAGCCAGCCCCCAGAGCTGGATATAGTTGCCACAAATATTTGCACTTGCAATCTCTGGCCAAGGCTATAACCACTAGCTCTGACCACCAGGGCAGGGAGGGGACAGCATAGTGGGAAGCTGCACTGGGGCAGCGTGGGTCCAGAGATGCCTGCAGCCATAGGAACCAGTTTTGGGGACCTGGTGCCTGAACAGCTGCTCCAGGCTTGGGGAAGAGCCAGCTGCTCTCTGGGGTGTCTAACCCTCCTGCTTGATACCCACAGGTGCCAGGAACAAGCCCAGCAGTGAGTACTGCTCTCGACTTCATCTCTGTCCCACAGCTCCGCTCCAGGGTTGAGGGTGACGGTGGATGTGCGATAGCTGCCCTCAGAGCCAAGGCAAAAATCCCACCCTCCCAAGCACAGGAGGATTTGCTATTGCACACAGCAGTGGGGTTTTGGCAGGCTCTGCGAGCACACAAACCTTCATGCAATCGCCCTGCCCCCAGCAGAAGCACCCCCAGGGCACAGAAGGAAGGTCATGGGTCCTGCCAGGTGGGTCCCTGCCTTGGCAAAGAGTGGGGAAACTCTGGGCAGAAAAGCCCTGAGGGTCTGGCCTTGGATACCAGCTCCAAATGCTCCTGGCACACAGCCCTCTGACCCCTATGGCAGCAGCTGTGCCACCTCACACCCAGAGCAGCACCTGGCAGCACCAACTCATACCTCCCACCCCAGGCCTCCACACCGTAAACCTCAAGCACAAAGTTGGTCCCAGCCCCAGGACAAGCCTCCTTCGTGCAAGAAGCCAGTCCAGGTGTTACCCCCTTAGTGGGCCACTATCCCCAGTTCCAGCCCTGCTCAGCCACTCAGGGGCATGGCCTGTGTCCCCCTGAGGGGCCAGTGCCATGGCTTGCAGCTCCACTCCTCCCTCGCAGGTGAGAAGCTGCCCCGGCACAAGTGTGGGAACCAGAAGAGCTGCCCTCAGAATTATTTTGCCTTCAAGATCATCAGTGGTGCTGCAAACGTGGTGGGACCTTCCATCTGCTTTGAAGACTTGGTGTAAGTAGCACATGGTAGGAACAGAGCAGCCGTGGCTGGCCTGGCCTTCAGTTTGGCCTCTGCCAAGCACATCACTGGCTGTCACAGTGTATTTGTGGTTAAAAAAAATTTCTGTAAATAGATTTCTTTGCTACCACTTCTGGAGTATTTTGCTGTCTCCAGCTTCTTTGCCCCATCACAGTTTCACTGGCACCAGCATCTCCAGGGCATCCCTGCACTCACTGTGCTCTCTGCTTTCCTTTCCAGCCTCATGAGCAGCATCAAAAACAACATTGGCAGAGGCCTGAACATTGCACTGGTGAATGGTGAGTCGGGTGGGCACTGACTCCTTTTTCCCCGTGGCCAGGTTTCCTTCCTCTCCCAGGAGAGAACAGGCCACTGGGGACCCCATCCCAGGCACTGTGGCTGAGCCAAAAGCATGCCCATCTTGTTGTTGCATGGGGCACACAGCCACAGGTATGGTTGCAAGCACTGCCAGTGAGAAGGGAACAAACCCACCTGGGTCAGTTCCACATGCATGACAGTTCCACGAGCTCCTCCAAGCAACACAGAAGATATGACACACTGAGGGAAGAGCAAAGCATTTGGAGTAGGAACCCCTGGCCCATGGCCAGGCAAAGCCTAGAGCCACCCCAGCGCAAACTCACTGTGCTCTGTTTTCAATTTTAACCTTTCAGGAACAACTGGGAAGCTCCTGAAAACTGACTCATTCGACATGTACTCTGGAGGTGAGCACCATCACTCTGCTGCTTAGTGGTTCCCAGCCAGGGTTCACACCAACACTGCTGGCTGCTGGCTACTTCAGCTGCTCCTCTGTCATGTATTTAACCATAAATTTGAGTGGACTTTGGCCAGAATTTCCAGCCTGGGTGGTAAAAGCCCAGCTTTCCCTGAGGCCATCAAGCCTGGAGTCCTCACAATGCATCCACATCCAGGATAGGCTTCTCACTCCTTTTACGTGCACCCAGTAGCCTGGAAAACATAATTTCACTAACCTGAATAGACCAGGGCACTCGAGATTTGAGAAAGGTACTTTCTGAGATCAGGTAGTTAATCCCAATATTTTGCAACTTGCAATTCAGTTTTTGAATGCTGGTGGTGGCTGAGCAGCAGTTTGTTTCCCTGCCTTTCATGGAAGAATAAATGAGGGAGCTCAGGGCATGGCAGTGAGACACGACCCCCAGGCCCAGCAAGGAGCATGGCAGCAAAGACCTGTGCCTGCTGGCTTCAGACAATATTCCTAGCAGCAAATAGATGCCCTGAGCCAGGGCAGCACCTGGCTGACACTGACATGCTGGATGCTGAAAATCCCACCACTGTTGCCAAGCTGTTACCAAATCACTCTGCAGCTTTGGCAGGACTCATCAAAAACCACATGTTAAAATCACCCTTGTAGTCCTTTCAATTTTCCCTTTTCTGTTCAAGCCTTCCCTAGAGATCAGTCCCCCTCTACGCTCCTTGGTTTTGCCACTTATTCTTGATAACTCTGGATTTTTAAGGAGATTCGCCAATATAATGGTATTTCCAGCTGACTTCATGAGCAAGATGCTTGATAGAAGAGGTACTGGGAACGAGAAGGCAGTCGGCTCCTGTGCCACTAGATGGGGCATTGGATTCAAGCATCCCACAGATGCAGGATGAGGAATAATTCCCTCAATACAGCCATGACTGCAGGGCAGGCAGCTCTGTGCCTGGGCAGGTTCATTTCTTGTGTCAGGAAGTAAATTCACATAACTAGATTTCACAGTTAGCAAGCAAAGTTTAGAAGCAATTTCCCCCTGCAGTTGTACTGAGAGGAGGACATCAGTCCTGGGCGCTGCAGGAAAGCCCAAGTGGGAACATAGGATGGGGAATGCAGCATCTGGGAACCCACCCTTCCCCAAGTCCATGGCCCCAAATCCTGGCTAGCACTAGCATTTCCCACTGACCTAGGGGAGGCTCCCCCAGCTACCACACAACAGTCCCTGCTAAATCCCTTTTTCTCTCCCTAATGCTCTTCTCTCCCAGACATTAAAAAGCTGGAAACCTTCCTCCAAGGGATCAGGCGCGGCACCCTCGTGCTGACAGCAAGCTACGACGATCCTGCCACAAAGTGAGTTTGCCCATGGCAGCAACACTGGGCTCCCCAAAAACCTGCAGCTGGGGGAGCTGCCAGCAGCAGAGAGGGACAGGAGGGGACACGCACCTGGCAGCACACTGCCACCCTCTTACCCTCTTTCAGGATGAATGACAATGTACGGGCACGTTTCATGGAGCTGGGCAGCAGTCACGTGAGTGAGCTGGGCTTTCGGGACAACTGGGTCTTCTTGGGAGCAAAAGGGCTGATGAACAAGACCCCCTTTGAAAAGGTATGTGGTCCTCCCCTGACACCAGCTCTGGAGGCTCCATCCTCTTCATAGTACCTCCCAAGCTATATCTCACCTACCTGTCTGCAGAAGACAAGGGCCAGTGACATTATCCTCCACGACAAGCCAAGAAGCAACTTCTGCCATGTTGCAAACTTGCACTATGCCACCAACCTCCTCATTAGTTTTCTCTCTCTTTTTTCTTGCAGCACATCAAAAATGATAAGGAGACAAATAAATATGAGGGCTGGCCTGAGCTGCTGGAGATGGAGGGCTGTGCCCCCAGGAAGATGGATTAGCATCAAACTCTAGCCTGCCACACAGGGCAACCTCCACCAGTCCCACAGGCACACCAGCTCCATCGTGGAGATCCCAGCCTCTCCACTTCCCGGTCACACAGCCCAGCAGCTGCTGCCTGCTCCTAGGAACCGTCTGTTTCACAGCAGGAACTGTGCAGGGTTTGGAGAAGAGCTGCACAAGTGCTTGGAGAGCCTGAGCAAACACCTGGCCAAGTTTCAGCCGAGCTGTCCTACTCTATGGGTCAATTTGGGGTATTTTATTTTTCTGTCTTTAAATTAAAAACTTTGTAGAATGTCTTTTAAATTTCTTAAATGAGATTTCTAATTATAACACACTACCTTCTCATTTCCATTTTCAAGCGTAATCCACACTTTCCCCCACAGGCACAGCATGCCAGGTCCTCTGCCACCAGTCAAGCATCACCATCACCCATTCCACAGCCCTGCACATGGGTACTCCCCCTCCCCACATGGCACAGGGTAAAGTCATCCCAAGCTCAGACCTTGGTGGTTTTCCCCCGGAGCTCTTGCCAATGCCCCACAGTCTTCTACAGCCACAATAAGGCCAGAAGTCCACAGGGATGGCATGCAGCAATGTAGGTTAATACTTGCAGACCAAAGCAAGTTCTCCACCTGGTTGCATCTTTCCTGGGTTAAGTCTTTAGCTGGGTTAAGCTAAATCCTCTGTGACACATCCCCATCAGGATAAGGCCAGGGATGTGCCAACCGGACTTTGGCCTCAGAGAGAGACAGATGGATGAATGTGCAGGTGTCTTGGGTAGCTGAAGTTGTGCAGCATAACCAATAGGTGGGAGCCTTTTACCAGGAGAGCCAGAGCCAACACCACTCTGGAGCGATATAATGCACCCAGGCTGGCACCCCCCAGCAGGCACACACACACCTGGAACTGCTCCAGGAACTGCACCCCAACCTGGGGCCAGCCAACACTACCAGGAGGAGAAAGATCCCTGCCCAAAGGCAGGCTGGAAAAGCCACACAGTCCTCCTCCTAGAGTAGTTCCTAGGCTGCTGCCCAGCGCTGAGCAGATTCTGGGGGAGCATCTGCCCTCACTCAAGTCCGGATGCATCACCCAAGCACAGTCTGTTCCCAAACCCTCCCTGAGCACCAGCACTGCTAAGATAAGAGGAGCTGTGCCGGTGACAGACGGGCTTATCTGTCATCACCGACAGGGATGAATTTGCATCATGTACAGACTTTAATTTCCGATGATTATATCTGGTTTTTCCCCATTCTTTGAAGCAGACCAGCAGTTTTGCATAAAATGACGGTGGAGCATTTCTGCTGGAGCACTTGGAGCTGTGGGGGGGTAACAGGCTGTCCTGCATGGCCTTCTCTGACTCTAACAGCCTCAGCACAGCTCCTGACAGGCAGTTCACAGAGTCATCCGAGCCCTCAGGTCACCCCAGAGCAACAGAAGTGAGGAGCATTGGCAGGATAAGGTCAGGAAAGGACACAGCCTGTCCTGTGTTGATCACCTGAGGGATGAAACCCTGCATCCAAAACCCAACGCCACCAATCAACTGGTTTTCCCTAAGCAAGGAAAAATCCCCAAACAAATTGTCTTACACTTGTAAGAACTTCCAAAGGTAAAACTGAAATAAACCCCCAAAACAACCATCAGAGGAATCCCCCAAGAGGTGTAGTACTTTATCCCAGCTTATCCTCCCACGCTCTTAACACACACCTGATGGCACAGAGGGAAGCCTCTGCCATAAATCGATCCCTAAATCTGCTGCAACAACAGTGGTTAATCCCAAACGCTGAATCATCCCTACCCGTGGCAGGAGTGAGAAATAACACAAGGCAGCAGACACAACAGCCCTCACATCACACAGCCCCGCAGCGCTGCCAGCATAAATATGCCAACTATTTTAAGCCCCCTCAAAGGATCTAGATTCCCTCATAAACCAAACTCAAAACAGCCCAAGAGCTGTAAAGGTGGCTGCATGGGGTAAACCAGAGCACAGCATCAACTACAGCCCTGAAAACAACCAGCCCCTTTCAGCTGTAGGAAACTCTTCCTACCCCTTCACAGTGCACATTAGAAATCTGGTTTAGAGCCAAAATAAAGGAAATTTATGTTTCAGCACACTACAGGCAGTTAAAACTAGCTCTGAATCCATCATGGAGCAGTTACTAAGGTACATCACCATTTGCAAGAAATAGAGAGAGCTAAAAGTAAAACTCCTGTGCAGGGGTCTTCATTAACAGCCAGTGTTTTGAAGAGCCATTCCTGTCAAAGTCTCCGTGTCCTGATAAATCACTGCTTTTCAAATATCTAGAAACTGGGAGGCAGAGTATAAATATGGACTCAGGAGTCAAATTGAACTTGCTATTTTTTAGAAGATTTGAAAAGGATGGTGACTGCAGGGACAGCAATCCTCAAATGAGGTTTTCCAGTGCCTTGGTGTATTGAAAGCTGTATTACTAAGGGGACAGGCACCCACCTGGCTGGTTTTCACTGTGCCACATCCCCCGGAGTCCTCACCAAACACAAGCCTGATCCGCCCAGCCTCCCAGAATGCAGCTTCAGGTAATCTGGCTCACCTGAGGTCACAGTAGGCTCCAACGCTGCAGCAGCAAAGAGGCAGCCTGGGGTGTTCGCAGGAGCAAAGTTTGCAAAATCCAGTGCTGCAACAGGAGCCAAGAGCCAGGATGCAGACACATAGCAGAGGGATAATCCTCCTTTATTTTTTGGTGTTTATTTCAGCAAAGCACCAAAGGAGCATCGAGGAAAGATGCCACAGGCAAGGACCTGCGGGTGCCGGGCCCGCAGCTGGGCGAATCCGCATCCTGTGACATCTTGCCCTGTCAAGTGCAATTACTGTAATCTTCCACAGCCTCTCAAAATACGGATCCCGGCTTAGAAACCGGGCATCCACAGCATGAAAGCTGCCTTTGTGCCCGGGCAGAGCCTGGGTGCGAGCCAGCCTTTAGGTGCATGAAGAAAATGAGTTCTCCACGTGCTGGAAGAAGGGAGGAAAAGCAAGCTTTCCTGCCCGACCCCACCACAGACAGGCTGGATTTCACCCACGTCTCCCCGGAGCAGCCGCCGAGGGGCTGGGAGCTGCACGGCTGCCTATCCCCCCGGGAATAACGGAGCCGTGACCACAGAGAGCTGGCCGGTCCCACACCCCGGAGAGTGGAGCGCAGCCAGCACATCCGACCATGGGGGCGTCTCACGGGAAGAAGGTAACGGGGCAGTTTTATGCAGGGCTGTGGTGGTGGGAGGATGGAGAAGGCACCATCTGCTCACGTGGTGCTTGTTTTGCCCCGCTCGTGCTAAGGCGGCTGATGGCAGCGAGGGATTAGAGGGGAAGGGACCCGCTCCTGGGTGTGGGTGCCACTCGTCAGGGCCGGATTAAGTAATTCCATCTAATGGGCTCAGCACTGGGGCCTGCTGGGCTTTTCAGGACAGCAAGGAGGGGATCAGAGCATTGCAATAGGACAGAAAAAGTTTGGCTTTTCTGGGGAGAAACATCAGGTTTATTCCGAATGTGTCAGGCAGCCTTGCAGGTTGTCTCCTACAGGTGCACTACAGAACAAGCTCTGAGTGTTTCTTGGCCTGGGAATTGCTGCCAGCTCCCTCCCAGGACAGGGAGGAGCTCGGTCAGGTCCCACAGCATCCGCACGTATCTCCCTCTCCTCCAAATCCCCTGGGGAGAGCGGTCAAACAGCTCCAAGTGGAAACAGAGTTTTATGAAGTCAGAGCTCTGTGGAGGCAGCTAGAGATGGTTGTGCTGAAGACGCTGTTAGATGTCATTTTGCTTTCATGGTTGATGACATCAGTGCCTAGAGATGCATCATCACCATTCAGTCATGATGCCCTGATCTGGAATTAGACTTCCATAGCTCATCTCCCAGCTCTAAGAGAAATGCACTTGTGTACCACACTAGGTCAGTAACTTCTACTGGAATGGGGACAGCACTGGCCCTTTGCTGCAGGAGGGAGCTTTCATGCTCAACTGAGCATGGCTGTGGCCTTCAGAGGTCTGGGCACCTCCAAAACAGGTGCCTTGCAGAATTTTGCAAACTTGCTGGACTTTCTTCCAAAACTAGAGATAGACACTCTTGCAGGGAAAACATGCAAAAAAGCAACCCACTGGCCAGTGTGACCAACATCCAGAAGGAAAATTAGAGGTGAAATGGGACTAGTAAACATTTACCTATTTTTCTGGACTTCCGAGAAGTGCCAGGTACAGGAGGTGCCGCTCCCAGCCAGACCCCTGCCTCTCCAACACCCATCCGAGGTGCCAATGCCACACTGACTCCAGCCATGGCCATTCCCGGGGCTCAGGGCTACAACAACACACCCAGGAGGAGCCATGCTCTGCCCACAGCTAATCCCTAGACCCCTGCTCACGTGGCTGTGACCTTCAGGCCCCGGCGCATTTGTACAGGCATTACTGGAAGCAGGGAAATAAGCTGGTTAGGTCAGGCTTGGCTCAGTGCCACCCGGTTAAGCCCTGCTGCATACAAAGCAGTCCATGCCAGCCTCCTGACCACCAGACCAGACGGCTTTTGGACAGCTTTCCTGACTGTTCCCTCTCTCTGAAACACCATGATCCCACTGCAGCCCGGCACTGAATGGCCTGGCTTTGAAACACTGCCGGGATCTCGGGCTCTCCCGTCACACCAGTTTGCTGGAAGCTCCAAAAAGCTCTGAGACAGTTTTATTTTCATGGGTACCAAAAGGTCAGAGATGTCACTCTCATTTCAGCCTCCTAAATGTTGCCTGGGTTGACAAAAGCCTGTGCCACTGCCCAGCTGGCACCAAGCAGAGATGTCTGACTGGGAGCTCCTGGGTCAGTGCTTTACCCTTAGGCTGATGCTGATGGGGGATGAAAACAAGACAGCTCCTTCTGCTGCCTTTCTAGGGTGGGCATGAAAGCAGGATCCAGCCCTCCTGAGGACCAGTTTGGGTCCGAGTGATAGGCAGGAAAACTCTCCTTCCCCCAGCCCTTGCAGAACCAGCACAGCTCAGGACACAGGAACCTGGCAGGCATGACCCCATCCATCAGCTACAGCCCATAGAGGACCTGCAGGGGAGCACGAAGCAGAATGAAAGTTCTGCACCCCTCGCCAGCACCACCTGCATTAGCAGTCTCAGCTGCACCCCGTTTAAACTTAAAACAGAACAGGACTCCAAGGGGATTACAGTAGTGGATTGTGGAGTGCAACACAATCCCCAGCTCCACAACAAAAGGCACCGGAAAGGCTGCCAGCATGGCTCCAAGGACATTT